GCAGTCTATTAACCAAATTAAATATTTGCGCAGCGCAGACAGACAGAAATGCTGATACCTGGACATGGGTTCAAGCTCGCAGACCAAGTTATAGGTAATCGTTATATAAGACTCTATAAAGATTATAACTTCTAGCAAACTGCTGGGAAGCAGAGCAACAAAGTAGCGAAACCTATAAACCATTACTACTTTTCTGCAGTTGTAATCCATGTTCATGAGAATGATAAAGCCTACCACGCTGGTAGGGGCTGTAACATGCAATCACAGTCGAAATAACTACCATCGACCTTTGAATTGACCCTCTTGGGTTTGGGCTGTGTTTCCTGTATAAGCTAATGCTCGATCTTTGACCGCAATTCAAGGGTTGTGTAATGTTTGAACGAGTAGCGTCCTCAAAAGATGCACACTTATTTTGCAATTGACAATAAGCTATAAATTTTTAAGAGGACACCTCTATTCTTCTACTTTTGGGTCAGTTTTGACGAATTATGGATGTCGACTCGGTCGAATATGTTATCAGGTCTGATGGCGTTCTCCGCCTCTGAGCCCTGTGCCAGATTTCACCTTGATGGTAATGGTGCGGCATCTGCAGCTTGCAATCGATTAATTCTTCAGCAGACAGTGAGCAACTGTTCGCTGGTGCATACTTGTTTGGTGCAGGCTCCCAGTTATGTAAAATTGAAGGAAGATTCACAGCACCCCTAATAGCAATGTTCCGGTACCAAGGGATAGAATGGTTCCAGTCGGACCAGAGGATAGAGGCGAATAGGCCCCTGTAGCCTTTGGTACTAGTGCGCCGGTCAGTCAGTCAGTATATTTGAGGGAAAAATAGGCTTGGCGCCTTTGAACTCCCTATTTGTCACATCAAAATCTCAAGAATTATAAACAAAGTTAACAAGTTTTCAGTCAGGAAAATATCGACTGTCAAAAGGGTACAGTGGTGTTTCTAGGCTAATTTGTCACATAGTTCACGTTGTGTTGTAGCATGTGTATATCAAGTCGGTGTTTGCCAGATTGGGACATAACAATCGCCTCGGGAAGGTTATTCCAGGGGTCCACGACACGATTAGAGAAAAAATTCTTCCGTACATCCAATCGTCCTTGGGGCCGTGATTGCGTATATGGGCGGTATTCGGTGCGACAGATGTTGTGGTCTCTGCGGAGCTTAACTGACATAACTCACTCTCTGCTAATTCAAGTAAACTGCTCGGTTAACCCAAAGTACAGGAATCCTTATAATTATCGCAAGTAATGTTGGTCAACACCGTCTGCCATCATTTGTCTTGTCTTTCTATTCGCAATTTTTTACATTGGCACCGTCTACACTGCTCCGTGTTCAGATCACACTAAATGCGTTCTAATAGGGGTGAGGGTAGGGGGTGGAGTGGTAGGGTCGACTACGTTCATCAAGTGCACTCTGAGCAGGCTCGGTTAAGCTCAATGTTAATAGTAGCCAGCCCCCTCCTACTGCCGTGAGGGCTTTTTTTTCCAAGCCGTTTGAGAAGGTAGTCTGACAGCAAGTAAAAACTACGTCTACACATTCGTCTTAACCGAGCCTGCTCAGAGTGCACTTGATGCACGTAGTTGCCCCTACCCCTCTACC